AGTAGATTGAAATAGCTCCCATGATAAATGTTTTGACATAATATATACTTTTTAATATCTACATATGGCAGTGGGCTTACAAATACATTTTAATCTTCATCTGATTACCAGGTTTTCTTAGGTCATTTTGAAAAATAACTTGTGAAGCAATTATTCTGCATGTAGGACTATTAATCACTTAACTGAAATAAGATTATGAGCATTCTATAATAATTATAGCAAGTGCAAATCTGGTTAACAGGATAGACTGAAAAATAGATAGATGCAGGGGTAGCAGAAGGTTAAAAGTAGAACTTTCAATAATTCCATATTATACACACAACCCAGTCCTCACATTTTATATTGTCTAAGTATTAATGTTTCATGTACTATTTTTCATGATTATGTGCGATATGTGGATTTTCATCACAATATTTTTGAGATCCATTTGAAGGTAGAGCAACAGTATCTGTCCATCATCAGTTCCCTCAGCAATAATGAGACAACCAATTTAATTTTTACAGAGAGTGTGAGGTTATCAGAGAGACAAAATAAAATGGGATTTGAGATCCATTTTTCAATTTAGGAAGGTTAATCAGATGCTATTGGAAAGGTGATGGTAAGAGACAGGATTATTCAGCAGCTTTCCATCTTAGCCAATATCTACTGTCATGGTTCCGATAGATGAGACAAAAACAAAAAACAAAACCCAGAACTCCAAGGCAAAAGGTTTCCTTAAAGAACATATTTATTGGCTACAAAGTATCAGCACGGTCAAAAGTGAAACTAAGACTGAAGTTCCCTCCCCCCTGTTGGAAAGTTAAACTTCCCACCCCAAAGTATGTCATAAATCACATCCCCCAATAAACTATTTTGGCGGGCTTTCTAATGGAAAGCTCAGTCCATCAAAACCCAAGCAGCAACGACCTTGGTTCCCACAGGACAGCTTATTGTTTTGTCTAACTGCAAATGCACATAACCCCTCTCCCAACTGTGGCAACCGAAAACGAAGTTGCAGTGTTGACACCTATTCTTTCTATCTTCTTTCCCTTTTTGATCACAAACATCACAGTTTTGGCTCAGTTTTGAGTAAAAATATCAAATATCCCAAGCTACATGTGGGATGTAAATTGCAACTCCATCAAATATTCAATTCCTTTACAATGCTCACATATTGATTTTCTTATGTCATGGTAAAGGAAGGCTATGTTTTTCTTTTTTTCCCTTTTTTAATTTCTTCTTATAAACTCCCTCCCATGAATATGATGAGAGGACTAGTTTCTAAGTCTTGTCATAATTGTTGGTTACACAGCAGCTACACAAGGAACTGCAGTCACAGCTTTGAGTTAGGAGATTAATGACACTAAAATAACAGCGAGAAGGAAAAATTATGAAAGAAAGGGGTGGTTAAGAATCAAAGGAGGCACAGAAGGACACTGCAATTTCAAATACAATTTTTGGAAGCCTCGGTAAGTAAGAGTGACATATTTCTGAATAAAGAAATAAGATTAGGTTGTTGTTACATGGTTGCAAATCTTATACCTGCCTCCTTTCTCTCCTTCCTCTTATATCTGCTTAACTACCAAGCTTAAACTAATGTTGTACATGGAGAAAAAAATACATTTTTGCTAAACTGAACTTGGTAATGTCCCACAAATGTATGATCAAATGACAGCTATGCAATATATTTAACAAAGCATTATTTTACTTTTAACATATATTTCTATATTTATTCAAACCTGCATATCCACATTATATAGATTAAAAGGTGAAAATTCAACATTTCTCAAGTTATAATGGCAACTGGAATGGAAATTTCAATTGCTAAGCAATGCAGTTGTAAAGTGTGACATCTCATGATTGTATCATTTATGGATGGCAGTCTTGGCAGTCCCAGTTGCTATCATGTCCACGACATGTGGAATCTTAAGGGGGAAATTTTGTTGGTCCCAGGTATGCGAGTGACATGGACTGGTAGTGAGAAGCATTAAGAGGGCCAACACAGGCTGGGCATGAGTTGGAGAAGGTCTTGGGAGGCCTGATGGAGGCCATGAGTAGAGGTAGAAGTGACTTACTGGAGTGACCTGAGAGCTTCCTCACCTGCTTCCCCATTCACTTAGCTTGTGGGAAGCCAGCAGGGAAAGTCACAAATGGCAATCATGTGACCACAGATGCCTGTGAGTTGAGGTCCCAAGTGCCCAGATCACAATCATGTGACTGTGGGGCTTCTGCAATGTTTGATTATTTAGGAACTGGTCTTAGTCTATTTGTCACAATAACTTTGGTCATAATCCAGTGCCACCATAACTTTGATAATTGCTGAACAAATGCAAACAAAGTTATGCAATAAAAGCAACAAATCAAGTAATCTCATATGCTTGGTATAAAGGCACTGTCAGGTTCGAAGCACACATGCAAGGTTGCCATCATTATCACTTCTCAGTTTGCCAATGAACTAGGGGGAAAGAGAGGTGGGGAATGGAATGCAAGTTCCAGACAACAAGTAGTCTGCCCCGTGTGAACCAAGGACATTTCAGCAGGTGTTTGCAAACCTACAAAGACACTTTCTCATAACAATTTGGGACTCAAATGGACCATGTGACCTGCACTAATAGGGGGAGGAAGAATTCTATATTTTAATTATAATGGTTTGCGTGGAATTAACCAGAACTGGTTTTTGCTTCATTTGTGCCAAAATGATGTACTCAATAAAGTTTTGCATTAAGAGATCAGATCGTCTCGATGGTGCTTGCTTGGTTGGGTTCATTAGTCGGAACCTTGACAGACACATTGTTGACCCTTTCTTTGAAATGTTTCCAAATTCTCCTTTACTTCATTAGCCACCCCGTGTTCCCCCACACACATACCTTATTTACCTTATTTAGCTAACAAAATAACAGTGAAAACCAAGGAAATTGATTTTACATGCTTTGTGCCATAGTGGAGCAACAGTGCACAATGTTGAAAAAGAAGCTTTATGAAGGCGTATCAAAGAAGTGGTATGAAGCATATGAAAAGCAGTGGACAAAATTAATGTAAGAATAAAGGGGTTAAAAAAAAGAAATTTAGGAGAATGATATTTCTTTCTGCCAGGTTTTATTTATTTATTTATTTTCAGTGTTTATATGCCACCCAATCCCAAAGGACTCAGGGCGGCGTACAAAGTTAAAACAATAATAAAACAATAAAATAAAGCAGTCATACCGCGAGTCCGATCATATCCCGGCCCCCCGGGGACATCAGCCCCAGGCCTGCCGGAACAGGAGGGTTTAAACGGCCTTCTTAAAGGCCGGCAGGGTGGGAGTAGTTCGAACCTCGGGGGGAAGTTGATTCCACCAGGTCGGAGCCACCACAGAAAAGGCCCTTCCCCGAGGGCCCACCAGCCGACATTGTCTGGCCGACGGGACCTGAAGGAGGCCCAATCTATGGGACCTCACCGGTCTCTGGGAGCTGTGCGGCAGAATGCGGTCCTGTAAGTAACCTGGCCCTATGCCATGAAGGGCTTTAAAGGTGATAACCAACACTTTGAATTGTGTCCAGAGACCCACAGGAAGCCAGTGCAGCTCGCGGAGGATAGGTGACACGTGGGTGTACCTTGGCGCGCCCACAATCGCTCTCGCGGCTGCGTTCTGAACCAACTGCAGCCTCCGAACGCTCTTCAAGGGTAGCCTCATGTAGAGCGCGTTACAGTAATCCAGTCTTGAGGTGACAAGGGCATGAGTGACTGTGAGTAAAGCCTCCCGGTCCAAATAAGGCCGCAACTGGTGCACTAGGCGAACTGTGCAAAGGTCCCCCTGGCCACAGCCGATAGATGTTGTTCCAGATTTAGCTGTGAGTCCAGGAGGACACCCAAGTTGCGTGCCTGCACTGAGGGAGGTAAATTTGCCCCCCCCCAGGACTAAAGATGGACCATCCAGTTGGCCTTTGGGAGGCAAGACCCAGAGCCACTCGGTCTTGTCAGGGTTGAGTCTAAGCCTGTTCACCCCCATCCAGACCCTCACATCTTCCAGGCACCGGCACATCACGTCGACTGCTTCACTGAAAGGACACGGGGTGGAGATATATAATTGGGTATCATCCGCGTACTGATGATACCTCACCCCATGTTGCCGAATGATCTCACCCAGCGGTTTCATGTAGATGTTAAAAAGGAGGGGGGACAGGACCGAGCCCTGAGGCACCTAGGGGTCGAGGCGCCTAGGGATCGATGATCGAGGCGCCTAGGGGTCGATCTCTGTCCACCCGCCAACACCGACTGCGACCTGTCAGAGAGGTAGGAGAACCACCGCAATATGGTGCCGCCCACCCCCTCTCTGAGACGACGCAGAAGGATACCATGGTCAATGGTATCGAAAGCCGCTGAGAGGTCAAGAAGCACCAGGATAGAGGAATGACCCCTATCCCGGGCTCACCAGAGGTCATCGGTCAGTGCGACCAAAGCAGTCTCAGTGCTGTAGCCGGGCCTGAAACCAGATTGAAAAGGGTCCAGATAATTGGTTTCATCCAAGGATCGCAAGAGTTGAGATGCCACCACCTTCTCTACAACCTTCCCCACAAAGGGGAGGTTGGAGATGGGACGAAAGTTCTTCAAAACAGCTGGGTCCAGGGAAGGCTTCTTGAGGAGGGGCCTCACCACCGCTTCCTTTAAAGGTTGCGGGAAAGACCCCTCCATCAAGGAAGCATTGATTATCGCCTGGAGCCAGCCTCGTGTCACCTCCCTACTGGCAGAAACCAGCCAGGAGGGGCACGGGTCCAATAAACAGGTGGCGGCATTCATTGCCCTCACGGCCTTGTCCACTTCATCAGGGGTCACAGGCTCAAACTCGCTCCAGATAATTTGATAACCTATAATAATAGGTTTTCTAAACTTAATGTATTAAACATCTTAATTAGGAAGATTTAAGAAAAGATGGAGTAAAAACTTTGAACTGTGGCCAATAAAACAACCTGTTTTTTAAAAATAAGCATAGCTTGCATTTGATTATTCCATTAGTGGAATACATGACTTTAAAATTACCTACCTCTTTAATTGCATCATTTTTTTCCACAATGGTTAGGGCAATAGCTGCACATTCAAGTGTGGACAGGCATGTATTTGTGGGCTGGGTACGAATTATGTACTGACTTGAAAAGCTGGTTTTCAATTGTACCTGAAAATAGTAATTTCAGATTAAAGAAATAGATCATTAAAACACAGTGTACTCTCTGTTTCTATAATATTTCCTTTAATTATATAAGATTTTAGTTTTTAGTAATAATCATTAGCAAGTGTTGTAATGACACATGTTGTATTTAATACAAGGATTTGCAATATATTACAAATATTTTTATATTTATTAAAAATAAGGAAAACAACCTCTAAATTTTTTACCATCAATGCAAAAACAAACCTAAATTAGGACTGTATTAGCATAATAATGTCTGCACTGATAGACATATAAAGAGACTGTAGTTCAAACTGCTACATGATTATTGAATTGGATCGAGCACTGGTGGAATGAAACTGAACAAATTGGAGGGCGGGGAAAGTAAGGTGATTTCTGCTGATTGCCTTCCTATCAAGAGACACTTACACCCATAAAAATATTTTGATGAATGGTGCAGTGCTCCAAAATGTAGTACCAGCATTGCAGGGAAAGAATTCTTACATAATCATCAATTTCAGTTATAGCTGTTACATATCACATTTTTGCAAATGGACCAATAGAACATACAATGAATGTTTAGCCTGTTCACACTACAATTTTACAGCTAGGTAGTAAGATATATAAAAGTAACAGATTATTCTGAGAACAAAATATTTATTTTTGCAAAATGGAACAGACTGTCAATATTAAATTTATATTACAAAGGAGCTTATTGCCTAATGAGTCATTAAATATTACATCTGCTTATTATGCTCAATAGTTCATTGTACAGTGTCAAATATGTCTACCCAATGACATTTTAACAGTTAATTATTTATCTAGAGAGTGATGTAGCCCCTCCTTAATCATATTTCATTGTAATTTGAAACATAGTCATCAAGAGTTTACATTCCACAATTGAATAGGGCTTCTTTACAAAGTTTTCACTAACATCAAAGAAAACATCACACAACTAAAAAGCAATATACAAGTGAATGTAAATGATAGCATCTACTCCTTAACTATTATTAATAAACATATTTCCATATTAATTAAAAACATAACACAATATTAATATTTCATAGTCTTCTACATGCCCACCATGACCAACATATTCTCAGTCTCTTCTCTACAAATAGTATTTAGGTGGAATATCAAAAATCAGAGTCGATAGCCATTGGATTTCTTAAGTTTGAATGTAGTTAACTCTTATTTCTGTACAATATTATTACAATTGGGTTTTTTTAAAAAAATGTGACAAAGAAAATTTAAAATGTTTTTTCTAATCCTGCTTATCTACAACTTTATTTCAAGATCATATGGACAGAGCTTAGAAAGAGACTGTTCTAACGACCTTCTTAGTATTAGATGAATTCACTATCAGTATTAGGCTTTTATGTATTTGCATTTCTAGTCCATCAACTCTTAAAAGTCCAAAGAGCAAGATATTCAAACTGAAAAGACAAAAGCAGAAACTAAAACTTTAAAGTAATATAACATTATAAATTATTCCTAAATATTTTCATTTTTTATCTATACACGCAATGATAACTAAACATTAACAAGAAGAAAATACAAGAGAAAAAAAACGAAACCCGCAAAATCCAAATAAATATTCTTTATCTAGTTTGGGAGTATATTTTGCTATTTTAATTACATCAACTTTAGAGATATAAAACTATACACATCTGTATTTAGAAGACAATATATGTAGCCACAGGGTTGAACTGTGAGGTGGGCTTGGTTGTTTGCTTACAGCCATGTTGTTACCAGAGTAGGTAACATCTACAACTCTAGAAATGAAGACACTACTTAGTCTGGTAACAGAACATCTACAAACAACCAAAAGATGTCTCTCTACATCAGTGGTTCTCAACCTTTCTAATGCCGCGACCCCATAATACAGTTCCCCATGTTGTGGTGACCCCCAACCACTTATACATCACCAGGTGCCAGGGGCGTGGCCAAAGAAAAGGAGGAAAAAATGGCGGACAGCCTTGTTTGGCGACCCCCATGAAATGGTCGTTCGACCCCAAATGGGGTCCCGACCCACAGGTTGAGAACCACTGCTCTACATTAAAGCCATACCTTAGGATAGGTTTTTATATTTTTGTTTTGTTTTGTTTTGAATTGTTGTAAATTTCCCAGAGTCATGTATGGGAGACTAAATGGGAGACTAAATAAATTAAAATCATAAATAAATTACTCCATACATAAAGAATTACACTCAGTAAATATATAAATAATTGCTGATGCATTCTGATTGTTTTTATCTTATCTTTAAATTTATTTTGTTTATGGGCCTCCAATTTCATTTTTCCATCACAACAGAGTTATGCGATAACTCCTGTTAAAATTTTAATAAGATTTTTTTAAAAAAAAATAGCAATAAAATAAGGTAAATAAAATGAATGTTATATTAGTAGTACTGAAAAGCAGTGCAAAAATAGAGAAATGGAAAGAGTCCCAAAACAGTACAGAAAAGAATTTGCAGTTTGGTATGAAATAATAAACAGTACCCCTACCCTACGTATAGTCCAAATCATTAAAAAAAAAAAAGCTATGCACAGCAAAAAATATCCACTTGCTGCTGAATAAAGTCCATCAGTTACTTCCTTGATGGAAAAAGAAATGCACAGCTAAACTGTCAGTTCACTTTTGAAAATTACATCAAGAATATAAATAAATTAGTCAATTGAAACATACTGGCTTTAATTTAAAGTGACATTTTAAGAGCTTCATGTTTTTATATTCTACAGGGAATAGCTGCCCTTCAACTGTAAGGAACAGACAGTCAGAAAAAGTAAATTGATGTCAGAAAACTTTTGTTCTTTATGTTCTTATGCATCCATATGTCTATGTAATCTTGCTACCACTGCATGATATATTTACAGAAATATTAGAGTGCATTTCAATGTCCACGAAGAAGGCTTTTATTAAATTACTATTTTCACTTTGGTCATAAATACATTTTTCCATACTTTATGGTTGTTCTCAAAGTAAAGAAGTTCATTTTTTTCTTATCTTATTAAATGCATGGCTAGATGTTGGCAGAGTTAGAGAAAGTGCTGGATTAGAGTTTGGCACACTCCATAGAAAGATCAAGGAAAACCATTCTGCTCCAAAATTATGTTATTGGATGTCTCTGGAAAACAGAATGTTGTGTTCCTATATATACATACATGTAACATGGTTATCCACAAATTATTCATGTGGCACATATGTAACATATATGCACATACATAGTTATATACGTTTGGACTTTGTAATGAGTTACAGACCAAGACAAATAAGTATTTAAGAGTATACAAGAAGCACTTATTTATAACTCATTTAAATATAATTTTTATTTTTATTATTTTATTGAAAATTTTAATTATAATAGTAAAAGTTAATGGAAATATGGAGAAAGAAGACAACAGAAACAAATAATAAATAATACAGGAGAAAAAAAGAAATAATATAAAAAAGTGACTTTCTGCCTTCATCACCACAATTATAAACAAATGTAATAATTTAAATATTGTTGTCAGATTTGATTTCTCTACAATTCTTCTTTGTCTCATCGCACTGCACAGCTCTAGTTATTGTCAGACGCTATTTGAATAAAGGACAGAATACACCCAACACACACATACACACACACACATAAGCAAGTACATTACACACACACACACACACACACACACACTGATGCTTTATTTAAACTAAATATGTATATTGGTGATTGCATTACCTTTGTATATGCCATATACTGAATCAATAAATATATTTTGGATGCATTCTATAAGTGCCCATTTGACATACTTTGGCTCAAAACAGGTTGTCTTATGATACAGCATGATACACTGTTAATGGTAATGAGAGTTTTTAATAGCAAAGAGATGTTATAGCATATGTCAAGAATGGACTCTCTCTTTTTTTTTTTTATTTGGTCTTACAACTTCTTGCCTATGCTATAAGAAATTACAGAACTATTAATGTCGTTATAACAGTGAGAGAATTGTATCATATATTTTTAAGTATAGATGAGACTGGGAATTAAAAAAAATAACGGAAAACAATAACTTGGCAAACCATATCTATATTGCTGCTAAGAAATCAAGAGTGTGATGTCTCTGTAGCCATCAAGAACTGAGTTTGACTCAAGGGATTTATTTTAAAGATTAGATTATTGTACTTTTCGTTTAGGGTTTGCTGCACTTTCTAGAGTAGGCTATTTAAGTCTTGCAACTGAAATAGCTATATAAAATGAGAGAGAAAGAGAACAGCATTCTCACATTCTCCATGAGGAATATCTGGACTCTCACCATTCTGTCAATAATTTAGTCTCCATATTTCTGGGACACCAACTGCCATTCAAACTGTCTCATTTTAAGACATTAGTAAACTTTAACTTGTAAAATGCTAATTTTAATAAGAAATATTGCTATTAGAAAATAATTAAACTGAATAACTGTTGTACTTAAGAATGTTAAAATACCAAGATAGTAAAATAAAATTAACATTTTAAATCTCTGTTCATATACTAAAAAAACAGAGGAGAGAGCTCTTGAAAAGACTTGTATTACCTTTTTGCTCTGTGTATAGTTCTGAAATGAATGTCAGGCAACCGATCAATATTTTATGCAGTGCTATTCTTTTAATAATTAATGGAAAAGAAAAGTGCTGCACGAAAATGTAGGCCCTGAGCAGAATAAGAATCTCAAGACTGGGTCATGAAATGAAGAAAGAAATGTTATTATATACATTGCAAATACCGTTTAACTTAAATTAATTGTAAATATCAGAAACACTCTAAGACAAAACCCTCACTGAAGTGTTTGGAAGGCTACTAATTCCCTGCATTTAATTTCTTTTATTTGTTAATGCACTGGATATCTCCTGAACTATGAAAGAAAAGTAAAAAATCATGCAATAACCACATATGCACACATATACACATACCTGTAAGATCAAATCAACAAAACTTTAAAAGGCTCAGAATATCAATTAAAAATACAACTACATATTTTAATTGAAAT